TTTCGCGGTTATCCAAGTTACTAAGTTAGTCAGGAGTATGTTTATCAGGTCACAATGAACATCGGTCTAGGAAAAGCCGGTAAACAAGCAAAAACTTTTAACACCTCGCATTATAGTCTGAAGCAGATAGTACTCCAAACAAGGCAATGTGTAAAAAATACCTAGGAATGGTAAAGCAAGTATAACAATACTGCCAATCAAGAGATTTTCAGATTACTTATTGTCACACTAGCCGATTTGATGGTCTTTTCTATTGTTCTTTTAGTGCTCCTTTGTGTGAAATTCTCCACGCACACTTTTCGTACACACCAACCGCCTATCTTATCATCGACTGTAAAATTGTTATTCACAACACTTTAGTTCCTATATCCTACTTTATTTTGCTCCAGGTGAGACTTTTATTTTTCATTTCATTCACAATTTCGGCTTTCTTGAAGTTAGCGTAATTGCGTAGCTTTCACGGAATGCATAATTTTGTTTTAAACGACCCCTAGACTTGGCACCTATCGCGTCGTTTCTGTGTTTGACTACTTGATGTGTGGGCGAGAATGTCAATGATTGGTTATCTCGATGAGTCAGACATTAGAGGGGATGACAGGTGTTATGTGTTATATATATATATATTTCCCTATCCTTATTATGTATTGACTTATTGACTGTTCCATGTGTCGGGTTTTGGTGTGAAATATATTGACGTTATAATCAGGCTAATATTGTGTTCTTGATCTGAGTTCTGTTGAAGTCCTGTAGAATAGACACTGGGTGGGAATCTAGTGTAGATTTTGTCTAAGATAAATTAACGTCCCACATACGTGTAAGAAGTAAAAGGACTGTTATAACTAGAACCCCTACTGTTATAACCAGCATCCTCTCTCTCTCTACGTTTATAACAATTGGCGACGGCATACCTACGTTTATAACATTTGCGACGGTGATTGAAACGGATCTACGCTTACGTATTCAGTTAATGTGAACTTTGTATCAAGAAAATGGATGATCTGAAAACCTTATTGCAACAGTAAAATACTCTTATCGAATTATTAGTCAAAAATATGTCGATATCCTCAAGAACTGATGTGTCTAATTCCACTATGACTCCGGATTCTATTGCTAATTCAATAACTGAATTTAGATTTGATCCAGAAAGTGGAGTTACTTTTGAGGCATGGTTTAAACGCCATGAGGATTTATTTATTAATGAATGTAAAGAGTGGGACGAAAGTTCGAAATTGAGATTATTATTACGAAAGCTCGGAGTGTCCGAACATGAAAAATTCTGTAATTTTATCCTCCCAAAGAAGCCATCCGACATAACGTTCAAAGAAACAGTCGAATGCCTGACTCGTATATTTGGTGAACGGTCATCAATTTTTCACACTAGATACCAGTGTCTTCAACTTGTAAAGAAAGTACAGGACGATTACGCAACGTATGCAAGTATCGTGAACCGGGAATGTGAGCGGTTCCAACTACAGGAAATGTCCTCAGATCAGTTCAAGTGTCTTATTTTTGTATGTGGATTACAATCTCCAGTAGATGCAGATATTAGAGCACGGATTCTAATGAGAATCGAACAAGATCCTAATATCAGTCTACAATCAGTATCTGAAGAGTGTCAAAGAATGATTAATTTGAAGCATGACACGAATCTCGTAGAAAGGAACAGTGAACACTTTGGAGTCAAAGCTTTAGGTAAATCTTTTAATGGAAATAAAGATTCGAACTCCCAGAAAATCCCAAATCAAGCGAAACACAAAACGTCTTGCTGGCGATGTGGTAAGTCTCATTCTGCCAATGCTTGTTACTTAAAAAAACGAGTATGCTTTCAATGTGGTAAATATGGTCATGCTCAAGTATGTTGTAAAAGTAAACCAAAGGTTTCTGACCGTCAGCATAAGTCCCGTAAAGGAAATAAGATACATACTTCAAAAGTAATGCCGCATAACTCAAATGTTGTTCTGGCTACAAAAAGTGAGCATTTCTCCTCTAAAAGGAAGTATGTAACCATTTTTTTCGATGGCAAACCGGTCAAACTACAAGTCGATACTGGGTCTGACATAACATTAATTTCTAGAGAAACTTGGATTAAAATTAGTCGACCCCGATATCAACCTACATGTCATAATGCTAAGAGTGCGTCAGGAACTAATATTACTCTTCTTGGAGTAATACAGCTACCTCTCACGTTTGGTGAAAAGACTATGACCGGGAAATGTTATGTCTCTGGGATCTGTAATACCAATCTATTAGGTATTGATAAATTTGGTTTGTGGGATTTACCGTTGAATGTGCCGAAAGCAGAATCCCAGTCATGGCCAGAAACAACAAAACCTTGGGTCCGACTACACGTTGATTATGCTGGACCGATAAGTGGACAATATTTTTTGGTGGTGGTTGATTCATACTCAAAATGGCCTGAAATTTATGTGGTACGAAGACCATCTACGTCTGAAACACTGCTACATCTGAGACAATTATTTGGTAGGTTTGGTACACCTAATGTTTTGGTTTCAGATAACGGGACGCAGTTCACGTCGTTAGAGTTTGCGGAGTTCTGTAAACAGAATGGAATCGAGCACGTTAGAACTTCACCGTATCACCCTAAGTCGAACGGGCAGGCAGAGAAATTTGTTGATATTCTTAAACGAGCTCTCTTAAAGATGGGAGGAGAAGGCAACGTAGAAGAGGCTCTGCAACAATTTCTCATTTCTTATAGAATTACGCCAAGTCCAAACGTCAAGATGGGAAATCTCCAGCCGAAATAATGTTTGGCCGACCGATTAGAACATTTTTTGATGTTTTGATCCCGAAAGACGGTTGACATTAGAATCACTGCACGTATAATCCCCTACCCCCCTTTTTTTGGAAATTAAAGGATATGAAAAAAATTTAGCAATTGGTGATTGGTGAATTTGTTTTTGAAAGTGTGTGCTCAAGTGCAAATGAACAAACATTTTGTCACCTGTAATAATTTTTTAATTGGCTGTAAATGGTGCAGTTTTGCAATTTGATTCGTTCAAATCGAACTAGAATAAAGTGCTTTTATTGGATGTAAGAATTGACATTTTTCCATTCGATTATTATTTACAATAATGAACTGTTTTCGCATTGTTCCATCTGAGATTTGTAAAAAATTTTAACTTCGAAAAAAACAAAAACAAATCCATTTCATTACCCTGCTATACTCCTGTTAGTGAATGTAATTTCTTTTTATGAAGTACAAATGCAACTAAAGTTATCTGTTATCGTCGTGGCAAGAGTAGTAATAATAATGTGTAGATCACTGAAAGTTAATTTTTGAAAAAACTTACAGTTGTTATTAATAATTGATAATGGTGATTATTGAATTTCAAAAAAGGTAGTCAAATGTTTAATACACAATTAGTGAACACATTTTGTTTTAAGTATTCCCATAAGTTAATTTAACACATAGTTCGCTCATTTAATAAACGTTATATTCGTGTAAGTATATGAATAAATCATGATAAAGAGAAAGTGAATGGGTCATGCCGAAGTCACGCTAACCGTAAAAGATGGGTAAATGAAGCAACTTTTACGCTGTCTGAAATTAGTAATAATGTCTGAGAAAAAAGCAAATAATCTTTATAATTCAGTTATTTTGCAAACCGTTATTCTTAATACCAAAAAGTTGATTAGTTTAGCTATGAAAAGGTTTTGAAAATGAAAGCAATATCAAGGTTATCAAGATTTTTTGTAAATCCATTCAAAGCATAAAATATGCTGACCTGTAGATTATTTGTAGTTGATCACTTATTAATGATCACCGAAAAGACATGTTAGTGTACTCAGTCATGTAATACGGTAATTGTATTTGTGAGGTGGGCATAATATTTTTTGGCAGGTGATGTTAACAGCCAATGTTTTTTAAGTGCACAGCCTTTCAAATTAGTGATCTGAATTTTTTATTTTCATTAGTAAATAACATTGTAAACGTTAATTAATTAGAAAGACTGAAATTATATTTCCAAATCCAACAGTTTCCTTTGTTAAACATACTGGACGAACAATGAAAAACTGTGTACAGTTTCCGTCACAAAGACATAATAATTACTCTTAAACTGTCAAACAGTAAATCGCTGAATGTTGAAAAAATAACCTTCTTTGACAACCATATGTGTAATATTGGTTGAATGAAGTGTCAATGAACAAGTCTATGTCTAGTGAAATAAATTTCTATTTCAATGATATGACTTAATGTGGAATAAGGTCAATTGTATCAAGTAACCATTATGTATTTAGAATATCGTATTTCAATCTGTTAAGTTAAACTGTACATTTATTTATCAAATGTCTAAATGACATTCATCACTGTATCGAATTTTTGCTATGTAGTGATAAATCTCATATGAAACATTATTATTACATTTCGTATGTTCCATTATTATTATTATAACTATTATTATTATTATTATGATTATTATTATGATTATTATTAATGACTTGTTAGATATGTAAGTCTTCATTATATGACGTTGTTTTCTGTACGGAATCGTTCACTGAAACCGTAAATTTGAAAAACCTGGAAAGCTGTTGGCATGGTAATAAAGTGAGCGATGATAATTATTAATCTACAGCTTAATTACTATGGAATTGTGATGACCGATCAGTGTCTGTTCACTTGACCTTAGCAATAGAAAAGATCTTGTTGTACTAGTGAACTGATCTTACTACATTTCTCTACTGAACCTAGTAACCAAATCATATGAATGTGAAATGAATTATTGATGGTTTCATGACTCCTCCTTAAAATGGAAACAAGAAATTCAAACAAAATTTAAATCAAATTGTGGGTGGCCCTGAAAAGGGCCTTTACTCGGTCTCTACACAGCTCCTTCGGTCCTGATCGATGACTCCACTATGAGTCCGTGACAGCGCCGCACATGGGACAGTTGAACCCAGGTGATACTTCTGTTGGGTCGTAGGCACAGAACGAATGAAACATAGCGTTGCATGGACAAAAAATCCAAGCACTTCCATCATCTGTGTTCTACATAAAAGAAACAGGAACAACTAATAGGATTTTCGGAGACTGTGTAAGTTCCTGTAGTAGTCAGTAACAGGAATGCGCATGTGCCGCTTAAGCAGTTTACATGCAGCAGGTGTAAGTGTTTCCTGAAGACGACGTAGTTGAGGCTCGCGACCCAGCACAGCCCTGCTACAGCATTCAGTGGAGTACTTTTGAACTCGAGCTTCTATCCAATATCCAGTGCGAAGCAGAACACTAAATATCGATCTGAACACGGGTGTTTTTCTGTTCAGCTTATGCAACTTTAAAATTCGATGGGTCGTCTCAACGAAATTTGTATTGCTTTGATCTAGAAGCATTGCAGCTGGTCTAAAAGCGTTCGACCACTTGTGCTTTTTGGACAATAACTGATCTCTCAAATATTGATAGAAATTCCCGTCTGCTGCTTCGATAAATGACACATACTGTTGGAAGCTACAATACATTGTAAAGCATATTTCGATTTACCTTTCCACATTTCTTGTTAGCATAAGACGGTAGAACATTTGAAGAAGATCAGATCGTAGCCTCTACGAATACGATGAATGGGTTATTTGTAAAGAAAGGAAAGCTTACCCTCTTGATGACATTTCGAAGAAGGTGCACGCGGCACAAAAGGTGGTGTGAATTGGGATACACCTGCGTTATGGCAGCAGCTATAGCAGGTGAATCGTCGGTAACAATACCGATAACCTCTCTATTGTTACTCATTTGGCGGAAGAACGAGAGGAAACTGGACAGCAAAGTCGATGTTTCGCGACTTACAAATGCAATACAAACAGGTATTGCCATGAAATTCATGTCCAAAGCCACCACGTGATAAAGAAACATGTTTTCATTATTGGTTTTGTATGTCCCATCAAAACCAACAACATCTAAAAACCTGTTACACAGATTGATCTGGTCTGCTGTAGCGAAGAAGAAGTACAACAGACTATGATCTGCATCCAATTGATAATCACAAAGGCCACCAAGTGACGTGATGTGATTTTTCAACTTACCGTAATCACCTACAGTTAATAGTATAAATATGCACATTGCTTACCAGGAAGGTTGGCCTGTGAGAACACTTTGTAACGCATATTGAAAACATCTTGAGCTGTAAGACGTTTCCCATATGATTGGTAAGCGTAGTGTATCACATTGAATGCTGATGTTCCAGATATCAGCAGTGGCTTCACTGATTCAAATTCCGCTCCCGTTAATCGGCGCATCCATGTGTTACAGTCGTACCTCATGGAATTGCACTCGTGATTGTGATGCACATTCCCACGAACAACAGTCCAATAACCTTCAAGAAACTTACAAAAGATGAAGGCCGGACATTGTGTGTCCATTGAAGTCCTCAATGAACAATATAATAACACTAATCAATTTACCTCCTTCGTCTAATCGGCTGCGAAGAAACGCTTGTTGTTTTATAGCTCTTTCTCCAACATACAAATTTAATATACGGCTTCCGATCTCCATGGAAATTAGAATCTCTCACCGCAAAATGGCAGTACGTTGCTATTTCATAAGTTCTAATGTCGCTCTTTAACGCTTCCAGTGATGGAAACGCTACCAGATACAATGTATTCAAAAATACATTTTCAGTTTCTGTGACTACGTGAGGAACAACAGAGCCTCTAATTTGCACGTTACTGACGTCCATATTGTGAAAAAAATTATCTATATCCATAAGTACAGAGCTTTTATACGAATTTCAAGAATTACATAACCAATTACAACGCATTTACAACTAGGAATTTCATTGGACGAAAGGGATTGAAAAAAATTGGAAAATGGGATGAAAATTTTTTGATTAAGGGGGACAAAAAAAATTATTAAAAAAAAAATTGAAGTGATCCTAATGTTATTCCCGAAGGACAGAATAAGTGGACTACAAAAAATAACAAAGGGAATTGCCTGAAAATTCGAGAATTCAAAGTAGGTGACTCAGTCTATGCACGGGATTTCCGGCCTGGCAAACCAAAATGGATATTTGGGTTTATAAAAAAACGACGTGGTACAGTATTATATGAAGTGATGGTCGAAAATACACTAATTATTGGACATGTAAATCAACTGCGAGATAAAAAATGTGTTTATGAGTCATCTAAACTCAAACCATTACCAATGGAAGTTTTATGTGATACATTTGATATTCCACCACCACCACCACCACAAGTTGAAATGAGAAAAAATGATCTAGAATCAGAAGTTAGACGAAGGTCATTCAGGAAACGGAAACAAACGAAATTTTTTCAAATAGACCCTAAAGTGAAATCATACGATCAAACTTCGCGAGGGAGGTGATGTGTGGGCGAGAATGTCAATGATTGGTTATCTCGATGAGTCAGACATTAGAGGGGATGACAGGTGTTATGTGTTATATATATATATATTTCCCTATCCTTATTATGTATTGACTTATTGACTGTTCCATGTGTCGGGTTTTGGTGTGAAATATATTGACGTTATAATCAGGCTAATATTGTGTTCTTGATCTGAGTTCTGTTGAAGTCCTGTAGAATAGACACTGGGTGGGAATCTAGTGTAGATTTTGTCTAAGATAAATTAACGTCCCACATACGTGTAAGAAGTAAAAGGACTGTTATAACTAGAACCCCTACTGTTATAACCAGCATCCTCTCTCTCTCTCTACGTTTATAACAATTGGCGACGGCATACTTACGTTTATAACACTATTGCTGCCTGAATTATCTGGAGTGAAATACCATTTAACAGTAAAGTTCCTAGATTGTTTGAGGTGCTCGTTTCTTGACAAATTAACTTCACAAGGTTTATACAAATTTTTCCGCTGTCCGGGTTTTAGTAATCAAATTATTAGATGTCTAACTGACAAATGTTTGTCCCTTGTTTGTCAGAGACAAAATTGAGTGAACAAACTTTATTAATCGACAGTGCTAAGCCGATTACTATATAAAATCTTTGGTATTCCAGATCAACTCGAACCCTATAGATCGTTTAAGGATTACCTGACACTCGATCATTAAAACGACAATTTGCTCTCAACTAGTGACCATAGATGGTTAGATATTAAGCCACTCTACAATTACATGCTTTACCCCAGCCACAAATAGAATTTACGAAAACCAACAGGAGTTGAATGAACTGGCAGTCCAATGGTTTCTCAGGATAGTTGACAATAAAAATGAGCTAATCGACGCTTCTGATTTTGCAATTGGCAGAAAACCAGTGACAATTAATCAACATTGCAAGACTGCGAATTGGAATATTACACATTCGGCTGGGAACTCCTAATGTAGTGAAGCAGAACTCAGGTGAGGACAACCGATTATATTCAGCACAAAATTACAGAGTTACTCAATAAAATAGAAGAACCATACTCCAATACTTTATTTTCAAAATGTTCATTAGTTGTCTTAGACTTCATAGTTTCTGCATTTCCATAACAACTGCTTTCTGTTTCCCTTCTTTCCTACTCGATCTTCTTAACTTTCTGCTGCCATTCTATTCCTGACAGTGTTATATACTGCTTATGTCGACATAAGTAGCACACACCACACTAGTAATTGTTTTTAACTTTCCATTGATAACAAGCTACTAAAGCTTTTTCCTTAAGTTCGATAAATATTCTTAAAGTTGCGTGAATCGAACTAAATATTTATTTACTCATGGTAAGCAGAGATGAATAGTGGCTAGCAGTAGAATCAAGAACGCGCGTTTCGTCCTGTTTGGGACTCGTCTGCTGGATGTACCTGCATCTCAGAGTTGATGTTCACTCTGGGACTCTACTCGGCCACTGAGTCCTGATAGCCACTATCCATCTCTGCTTACCATGCTTGTGAAATAAGGCTATATTTAGGCAATACGCACAGTATGCACATACGCCAATTAGAGACTGACCAGTTGCAGTCAAACAAATCAAAGAAATCGATGGGAAGATTCAAACAAACAATACTAAATGAATTTATTTACTCATGTGCAACTAATTTACAAGTGTAACAAAAAGACCATTTCGGATTTCATCACACGTACATTACCAACCACATGAGTTTTGGAATACATAAACTTTTTGCACAGTAGGTTGTCTGGTTATGTAACAAAGCTAGCCAGACTAAAGTATGTAACAACCATATTTTCATAAAAACCTCTTAATTATTAGTATATAATGTTTCCAATGTAAGCTATATTTTATACTCAGATGGTCTTTACTACGTAGAAATACTATCTGATAACGAGTAGAACATATAAAACATTACAATCGACTAGTTTTCACTACTAATGAAAGCTAGGAAGTTCACTACAGCTGTATAGATATGATGCATTTGCAATAGAAATTGAGTTCACAGTATCGTTCGTAATATTCACCAAACACTATTAAAGTATCAAAACTGAATATTACCATCAACACAGAAAAACCCTAACCAGATAAAACAAATTTTATGGGCTGGGCAAACCATTGAATAATATGATGGAAACTTCATTTTGAATTGAAACAAAAACAAGAATACATGTAAAACATACTGGTAACGTAAACAATGGAAGATTTATCAACAATACAATTAGTGGTATAAAACAACCTAATTTATCAAAGAGAAGAGGAACTTGATAGGATACTGGAATATGGTGGAGTATCGAACTGTCAGGCGGAAAATAATAATAAAAATAATTAACAAAGTAAACATTTCAATTGAGAAAAAAAGTAAATTAACATCAGTAAAGAGGTAATTAACCAGACAACAAATGTGAACAACACAGAAGTTTTGAAAGACTATCATAGAAAAAAACGGGGAATATTTGATGAAGATCAAAGTGATGAACTACACGAACTACAGCTTCCGTTGACTATGAAAGATACATAGTTCATAGAAAAGCAATACAGATTGGAATGTAGAAAACGTATTCACTTTATTTAAGATATTGTCATGTAAAATTAACCAAAAAATAATGACAAGTAATTATTCTTTCTCTCCATTTGATAGACTTGAAAAGATATATCATCAATCTGTACATAATAACACTGTTTTTTTTACCTTAATTGAGCGGCAAAATGTAAGGAAAAAAGGCAAGTTTTGTTGTTCATTCTTAAAACTAAACTGTCCTTAGTTGAAATAATGAAGAGTCAGGGTGATGATTATCCGAATGGTCAACAGAAGTTTTATTATTATTTTCTATACTATTAGTAATTCGATGCGGAACATGACCATTATTTGTAGATGTAGAATGAACAAATTGGAAATATGGTTTCTCAGTAAATGACTTTGTTATAGAGAGATCTTCGTCTTCGTTTTTGTAACAAACAATCTGATTATTATTGTTATCATTAGTATTCCCATTAATCAAGTGCGCATTTTGATCATTCTGATTGATATCTTTTGTTCTTTCTTCCTCTTCATCATCATTACTTAAATCATCGAATTCACAGTCATACATTAAACTTGGTCGAATCCAATGAGGTGGTAGAAAAGTTTCAATAAATGGTAATCCAGATACAATACGAGCTAATCGATTAATCCATTTAGGTAAAACACCGTGACATAAAAGCTGAAAATTTGTGAATAAACAGAATAATAAAAGTAAACATAGTGTTAACTTTGGAATAAGTGTATTAATTATTAATTTCAATTAACAAACTTTATTTCAGTTTAAACGAATAACTTCATTTAAACGAAAAAATTACTGGAATATCTAAATGAATGAATGTCATTTTGCAATCTGACACTAAAAGAAGAAATAAACGTCACCTTCAAGAAATATACCAACATTCAAGTTTATAATCGTTTAGTGGAGGTACAACCAAATGCTACAAATCGAGCAGTTTCAAAAAACGAAATTTTTAATTTGAAAGAAAGCACTTGGAGATACAAATTAGTAGTACTGTTTATGTAGAATACGTTCAACGCCATGAAAACTGATTAAAATGATGTGTGAAAAACTTGCAATCTGAAACTAGGGTTTACTTTTGTAAAACGTAAATTCATCAAAAGCGATACGATTAGTATGAATATAATTCAAGCACTAAAAGTAGGAACTGCTAGTTGAGGTTCTTCCAAAAAGAAAATTTACAAATTGCATAACAAGCACACAAATTAATTCAGGACAATCATCAAAAAGTGACGAATAATCTGTATTGAAACAAGACAGATAAACAGAAGCTCTTTGCAATCATTTTACAGTGGTTTAAAAGCTGTCTCTAGTAAACATCAAATTAAGAAAGAAAATGAAATCCAAATAGTTGATGAACTTCTAAGTTATGGCATAGAAATAAAACTAAATAATGCTGCTAAGGGTGAGGGTTAAGGGATTTTGAACAGAAAGTATTCCAACTAACACATCGGATAATAACATTTAGGAGTATTCTTTTCCTAAAAAAAATTGCCTAACAAGCAAAATGTATAAATCTAGGACATTATTTTACTTATTTGGTTGTCTTATGAAATGTACACTAAGGTTCAACAATAAAGAGATAAACACCCCAAAAAATAACTGTACAAGATATGAATGAGATTTAATGTTACCGAAATAGAAGTATGATATTAATTAAGTTTGAGTATTTAGTAATAATAACTAATGAAAAGAGATGGAATGAACTAAAAAAAGCCTGATTTTAAAGGGTAACTCAAATGTTCAACTGGATTTGTTTTTGTTGGAACATAGTTAATATGGAACTAAATTAGCTTCCTGTCATCTTAAAGAAAATTTAAAGAGCTTATAACTTAAACTTTAATGTTAAAACTTTTCTACTTTCCGTTGATCTGTTTGTCATATACAAAGTCCATTTAAAAATTTACAATCTGACGCTTTAACACAACAAAACTTAAAACTGGTTCAAATAAAAATACTCATTAATTGTTGTTTCATATATGACTGTCTATTATTCAACATCATATTCATCTCATTTCATGAATATTTCTCAGTTCGTTACTTTGCAGTGAAATATTATGTCAGATAATGAGGTGTATCATCACGTTAATACATACTAAAATCAGGCATTACTTTCACCTGAAACTACGTAGTCGACGGAATTTCTTTATTCTATTTCTAAATACATGAACAAGACAAAACAGATTATACCTGACTGAATAGTTGATCATAAAATGAGTTTATAATCATGAAGATGAATTTATTGGATTGAAACATTATCGATTTTCAAATATAGATTTAGGCGAACATAAATAACTAGTGAATATTGATTAGTCACATTTTTTAAGCTGCCAAATGTTGAAAATGAGTAAACAATGAGAAAGAATACAAAAAAAATCGAATATGTAAAGCTAATACAGCGATAATCAAATAGAAAGTCATATTTTAGACAATATTCCAATATATTTCGATCATTATTATTATTAATAATATAATTTAAATGAAGTTAACAACAAAAGTTTTTTTTATGGGTTAATAAAATCTTGTCTCGTTAAAACTGACCACAACAAACACCTGAATAAAGATTTACATTTCGGAAACACATAATTTAAACCTTGATACATTCCTCATGTTCCCCAGATTACAGCTTAGAGTAAACTTTGGAGATTTCCAGGTTTTTATCTGGTGTCTTATTAATTTATTAGGTTGATTGTGCTTTACAATACTAAAGTTGCACTTACAAGCATGTTATATTGGAAAGATAATAAATATGGTAAATGCATTATCCTTAATGGGTGAGGGATGGAAAAAGCCTCTTTCTAGGCATCGGTTCACAACATATATATATGTATATATAATTTACTAGCCATTTTCCACATCATATGTTGCAAGGACTACTGAAACTACTTAAAGACAAGCTATTCATTGGTTTAAAGGATTCCCATATAAACTATAGATAAGCAAGAAGTATCTTAGTGAGTTATTATTAAAATAAGACATAGACACTAAGTAATAACCCCGAGTAAAACACCAACATGTCTGTTAATTTCTATAATAATTCACAATACACAAAGTGACAAAGATTCTTTCAAAGACATTCAAATAATTGACTAACATTTTTACCATAAATCATCAAATGAAAAATAAAGCTTCAAAAGAAAATAAAACAACACTAGTTGTTGTAATTCACAGTATTAGATATTTAAAACATCTTTAATTATAGAAGCTGGATAGTATAAACCCAAATTCTATCAAATTCAAAATTAGACATAATTTGCAGGGGATTCAGTGAAAATAATGTTTGCCAGAATGCAATGTGTATCTACTAATAAATATCTATGCAAAACTGGAACCTAGAAAAGTTTTGTTTGATATCATTTTATATATCTAAAAACAGAAAACTGGAAGGAAACGATAAATAAACAGAATATAAGAATGACAGGAATGAATAGAAAATAAGGAGTTAACAATTATGAATGTAATAAGATGTTCAAAGTTTGGTGTAAGGCGCAAGCGTCAATAATTTCTAACAATAAAAACAATTATTTAGTGAAAAAATCCCACTGTCAAATAATGCGTGTATAGAACTCAAGTTAAGGAATGTAACGACCGATTCTCGATCTATCTATTTCTCCTACAGCAATAATGAAGTGATTCATAGATATTTCTTAATTAAAATATAATTTAATTTTAGATCATTTATCTGCCTAATATTTGACTAGAATAAAGGACAGTCAATGTTTGGAAAACAGAAAAAAGCATACAGCAAATTCTAACAAATATGGACACTACATCCAAAAAAGGTTATTTTAATTAATTTTCAAATTATAAGAATAAATAAATGAGACGAATTAGATGATGAAGACATAAATTATACTTTTGTAAGGCTAAACGAATTACAATTAAGTACATTAAATACTATTTGACTAACTTACTATTATAGGTCACTTTATCATATGATACATATGATAGGTCTTAAGTTAAATAAGTGGATTATTTTCTTAGAACTTAAGCACATAGAGAGAGAGAGAGAGAGCGAAAAATAATAAGTGGTGACCTCAGGCTAATATATATATATATATATATATATATATATATATATATATATATATATATATATAATTTGATTGAACATCTGATTATTAAGTAAAAAAATCCTACACCATTTAAGTTGCTAGTGCCAAAAGAAAACAAATCAATTAAATATAAATCGTGCTTTTACAACAGACTAATTTTATTAGCTTAATTAATAATTGATGTAAAACAGAAGTTGTTTTTTTTTAAATAATAAGAATAACTATTCAATTTTAGAAGATTAATTTTTATTTGCTTGTTATTGAAACCGAAATCTACTGAGCTTTCAGTAATCCGTAAATGAACTCAGATGAATATTCGTTTATACTGTGTGTAAAACATTTTAAAAATTAGAACCAGATTATTAAGGTCTTTAGCAGTGTGTACAGCGTAAAAAAACTTATTTAACATATACTATGCGAGTTGAAGGACATAATCACTAAAGGAGATAAGATAAATAACATTTTTAAAATATATCATAGTATATACAAGGAGAAGTACAAAGAACACACAGGTGGATCTCCTTATCCTTTCGAACGTTAATCAACAGTCAAAGGTCACGGCATGTCATTATTAATAGTAATACAACAGTATATGATTTTGATTAGAAAGATATTGAGATCTAAGACAAATAAATCTTTCCGAAGCTTGCTAATCATTTTAAACTCTATTTATTACAAAGAGAGAACAATAACAATTCGCAAAGTCAAAGGTCAAGTCGACAAGATAATCTGTCAAAACAAATGTTCAAACACTGACAACGGATAAGTCCCGTGTGAGTAGAAAAAGCTATTAGATAATTAAGGAGGAGTTCTTACAATTTATTTGTTTTCGAAATTCATGATGACAGTGTGCCCCAAAAGATAGTTAAAATTGGAAATTAACCGACACATCAAGAGAATGAAAACACTAACTTTTCGATAATTGAACATATAACTACCCTGGTTATACAATCAGAGGAAATTTGTTCAATCAGTAGACATTATACATATCACAACTAAACAAAAAAAACGTAAAATTTACTTTAGGCAACTAATGGTTGCTGAATTTTATATCTAGATATGCTCTGTTAGTTGCCAAAAAAGTAAATGCAAACTGATCTCTACCCAAATCATTTCAAACAGCTTGATACAATCCTGTGTCGAGTTTCGTTCTGTTTAATCAATCTAGAATAATTAGCTGAGACAATGAACTTAGTTACTTCAATGGCTTACTTACAAATCGGTCAATTATTCTGCTCAATGGTTGAAGCACATTTAGTTAGGAACCACAAAATGTGACGAAATTTCAGATATTGGATGTACCTTATTGATATAATCGAATCAAGACTTTAACGACTAAACCGAAAGTTAGATCTTATTGGAAATTGACAAACACAGCTCAGATTTTAGATCATGACAACTTAGAGCCTACTTTAATATAATTCTGGGGTAGTACGACCTCCGCCTACTTTGATAAGTGATGTTATCTGATGTAGAATCAGGTTAGGAGGGCCAAACTAAAAAAATGGTATCAGTTCACAAAGTCAATAACTGGTGGTTCGAGCCATGTTAATAGATGCAGACTACCTGGTTGGGATATTCCCGAAAACCGTGACTAACGGTTGG